ATATCTCGCCTATCCTGGCTTCTCTTCATTGGCTTCCTGTTAAATCAAGAATAGAATTTAAAATCCTCCTTCTCACATATAAAGCCTTAAATGGCCAAGCTCCATCTTATATCAGAGATCTGATTGTTCCTTATGTTCCTAACAGAGCACTTCGCTCTCAATCTGCAGGTTTACTAGTGGTTCCTAGAATTTCTAAAAGTAGAATGGGAGGCAGATCTTTTAGTTATCAGGCTCCTCTCCTGTGGAACCAACTACCAGTTTTAGTCCGTGAGGCTGACACCCTGTCTACTTTTAAGGCTAGGCTTAAAACTTTCCTTTTTGATAAAGCTTATAGTTAGGGTGGCTCAGGTTATCCTGAGCTATCTCTATAGTTATGCTGCTATAGGCTTAGACTTTTGGAGGACATAGGGACCCCCATTTCATCATTCTGCTTCATTCTCTCTCTGTTCTCCTATTCTGCAGAATCTGTTAGTTCAATCTCTAACCTTCTGCTCTCTCTGCTTTTCCTCAGAGTAGCTTTGCCTCGTCTGTTCCTGTTTGGCTGTGACGTCATCCTGGAAAGAAACATCAGCTGTGCTGCTTCTATCAACACCCTTGTTTATAGATGTTGGAGATCGGCCTGTTTTCCAGTGTGGTCCTGTTTCTCTGACCGTGACTGAGTGGATGTGCTCTCTTCGTCCTCTGGCATGGGAGCTGCCTTGGAGCTCGTCTGCCTGGCTGTGTGTTTCCTGGACGGGGCCGCCTTTTACAGCTGCTTTTTGTATCTCTGCTTCTGTCTCCTTGAACCCCAGTCGGCCTCGGCAGATGGCCGCTCACACTGAGCCTGGTTCTGCTGGAGGTTTCTTCCTGTTAAAAGGGAGTTTTTCCTCTCCACTGTCGCTACAAGCATGCTTAGTGTGGGGGATTGTATTTGAGTCAATGAGTCAATGCAATCAACTGGTTTTCCTTAGATAGAAAACTTTGTATCAATTTGACTGTATGATCTGGTTGAACTGTAAAGTGCCTTGAGATGACATGTGTTGTGAATTTGGCGCTATATAAATAAACTGAATTGAATTGAATTGAATATATATTATAAAAAACTGTAACTGGAGCGTGTAACACAAGTAATTTCCCTCTGGGATTATTAAAGTATTTCTGATTTTGATTCTGATAGGTGTGTTGTAATTTTTTACACCTTTTGTTAAAGGAGAAGTTCGGTTTTTAACACTTTTAGCCCATTTTCTGTAGTGTCCAGGATGAAATCGAATGATCGACACCAAAATTTTGACAATTGGTCCTGTCTCTGCTTTTTGGCTCATTTAGAATCGACCCTGGCTGCTTTAGAATGGCTTCCATAGAGCATGTCCGATAATGTCCTTAAAACAACCTTAAACGTTCTTTTTTTAAAATATGCTACTCACTGGGTCGTCAGCGCTGTTCAATGACGTTCCAAAAAAAGTTTCGTAAAGAAAAAACGTTCCTGTAGTGTTTTATTTAGCATTTTGTAAATCCCATTGAGTTCTGTTGGAATAGTCAATATCCCTCCGCCACCGGAAACGGAAATGGGGCCTGTTTACGCTTAGTTGTAGTCTTTTCGCTTCACTCTGTGTACTCCGACGTCGAGAATCAACAATCCACCTTTCGTATTCCATTTTCAGAGTTTTTTAAAGTGTTTAACAGAGACGTTAGCACCTCGACGTCGGAGTACACAGAGTGAAGCGAAAAGACTACAACTAAGCGTAAACAGGCCCCATTTCCGTTTCCGGTGGCGGAGGGATATTGACTATTCCAACAGAACTCAATGGGATTTACAAAATGCTAAATAAAACACTACAGGAACGTTTTTTCTTTACGAAACTTTTTTTGGAACGTCATTGAACAGCGCTGGCGACCCGGTGAGTAGCATATTTAAAAAAAAGAACGTTTAAGGTTGTTTTAAGGACATTATCGGACATGCTCTATGGAAGCCATTCTAAAGCAGCCAGGGGGGGATTCTAAATCAGCCAAAAAGCAGAGACAGGACCAATTGTCAAAATGTTGGTGTCGATCATTCGATTTCATCCTGGACACTACAGAAAATGGGCTAAAAGTGTTAAAAACCGAACTTCTCCTTTAAACTTGCAAACTCAGAACAAAGAGGGTACATCTTATTCTTCCAGGCGCTCCAGTGTTGGTCGCCATAATAAAACAGGTCTCATTTGTTACCTTAATATGCTCAAACTCTGATTAACTAGAAAATTGTGTGACACATGTTTGCCCATGTGACAAGTAGTGTTTCAAATCAGGCAAATTGTTTTTAGAATTTTTAATCACAGCGCGTTTCTTTTGAATGCCAGTAACAGAAAAAGTGGTTCTTTTGACTGAACTGAATCACTAGATTCAGTACATTAAAATTATTGATTCAAATGAAGTTATCGTTTCAGGCAACCGTAGTTTTAGTTTTTCAGGTAAAATTTGCTGCTTGTGTTGCAGTGTGCTGTTTGCAGTACTTTAACTGCATTTTCTGCTCTATTAAAGTCATTCCATCACTTTTTTCCATTATTTTTGCGAGCAAAAAACAAAACTTCTGAACTGAAACTTGAAAAAAAAAACGAATTTCAGAGATGAAATGTCAAACGTAAAAAAGAGGCTTTCAAAGTATAATTCCTTTTTCTTAGACTTTGTGAAAGTATTTCTATTATTGCAGTTTTTTTCTCCAAACTTTTTTAGATTTAATTTAAAGGTATAGTTGGGGTTGGAGTTCTTCTTCCAGGTGGACCATCAAAATATGTGGTCCTCCTAATTGTCAATCATTCTGGTGCTATGTAAGGCTGTCCTACGTGCTTGTCCCTATCTTCACTTACCGGTGGGGAGTCTGACATAGTGCAAAAATGATAAATGTTCTTTTGGAAAGTAAGCTTATATGAGCGATGCAAACGCCAACTTTTAAACAGAGAGTGCATGAGGAGAAATTGGTTTGTGCACGCCCTCGCACACATTTAATAGGTGTTCCCTCTTGGGAGAGGGTACAAGGTTGTGCATGTGCATGTTTTTAGAGTGGAGAGGGCGGGTATTGTCAAAACCTTATGAAAATCCTCAACTATACCTTTAAATAAAAAAAAAAATTCAGATTGAGTTTTACAATGTGAATGTTTTTCAAATTGCATTTCAGATCCCCTTCTTTTCTGTTCAAACCCAATACAAGCGCTCACTCCAGACGCCCACATTGACCAATACAATGTTGTTGCTAACATCCATACAAACCAATAGAAATGTGTGTTCAAGTAGGAAAGCCAGCCCCCCAGAAGTGCCAAAAATGTTATCAGTCCAGGAATAGACCTTTAGCAGAGTTTAATGAAGGGGGGCAAGACTATCTTAGGGGGTCCAGAGACAATCATTTGCTATTTAAGTGTCTAAAAGTTATGTTAAAGTACATATACTTGAGTACACAAAGGGGATGTTTAGTATTTGTAAAGTGCAATTTGTAAACAATTTAAGAAAACTAAAAATCTGAAACATAACTTGCCTTATGTCAGCATGTGCGTGTCTTTATATATGGGTAATCCAATATCTCAAAAACAGAGAAGCATAGTAAAGTGTTATACAATTACAGGCATTTACCATTTTACAACATTGATGGTACAAAGGTAGGTAAATGTTCTTTTTCAAGATTTGTTTTTCTTATTTTTTGTAAATATTAATTATTAATCAACAGTATAAAGACATTATCTGATATTTTCAGTTCAATTCAGTTTATTTCTATAGCGCCAATTCACAACAACGTATGTCATCTTAAGGCACTTTACAGTTTACCAGATGATCCAGTCAAATTGATTCAAAGTTTTCTATCTAAGGAAAGGATGGAAGATGCAACTCTTTAGCTTAAGCGGAGACCAAATTCCTCCACTGAACCCTAAAAAAGGCAGTGTGGTAGATGCCAGGTTGTTGGGAGCTGTACCAAGATGCATTATCCATTCAATTCAATTTTGAATTCAGTTTATTTTTATAGCGTAAAATAACAACACATGTTATCTCAGGCACTTTACAGAGACAATTCAACCAGATCAAACAGTCACATTGATTCAAAGTTTTCTGTCTAAGGAAAACCAGTTGATTGCATTGACTCTTCAGCAATCCCTCACACTAAGCATGCTTGTAGTGACTGTGGAGAGGAAAAACTCCCTTTTAACAGGAAGAAACCTCCGGCAGAATCAGGCTAAGTGCGAGCGGCCATCTGCTGAGGCCGACTGGGGTTCAAGGAGACAGAAGCTGAGATGCAAAAGGCAACTGTAAAACTATAAAAGGCGGCACCATCCAGGAAACACACAGCATGGCAGACGAGCTCCAAGCCAGCTCCCATGTCAGAGGATGAAGAGAGCACATCCAGTTAGTCACAGTCAGAGAAACAGGACTACACTAAAACAGGCCGATCTCGAACATCTATGAAAAAGGTGTTGATGGCAGCAGCACAGCCAGGGGCGGAGCTTGTGGACAGGCAAGCCAGGCAGTTGCTTGGAGCCCCGGCCTCTAGGGGGCCCCCAAGGGCTGACAAATTGTACTTCACAGCAACGACAAGACTGGGGATTTACATTACAATGAAATGACACCGTAGTCAAAAACCCCCTTGTTGGGCCCCCACCCCATGCCTTCAGCCTGCATCTGACGCTACTGGCGCGACTCTGCACAAAGTTAAACTTTGTTGTAAAGCTTCCCAACCTTCCATGAGAGAGTCATGAAGAGGATTTATCCCAGTGGGGCAGAAAAAAAAGAGACAGAGACTTTTCTGCAGTCTCCCCCTGCAGAAAACAACTCTAATGAGGCAGACAGTAAAAAAATAATATCAACAACACCTACAACAATAATAATAAATTACTCCTTGCATATAAAAAATATGCTTGATGATAAATTGATAATGAGATTAATTTCATTGTGCTCAGAGTGGGAAAGTTGTATTGGGCTTTATATATGTGCACTCAAAAGAGAACTTTTAAACAAAGGACATGTTGCATTAAAATGTGACACTAACTTATCTCTCCTCAGGATCATTACTAACATTTTTAAAACCAGTAAATCCAGTGAAGGATACTGTACCCCCTCCCAACACTGACGATGAAAACTGTACAGGTATGTTCAGTATTCCACTTTAATTTATGATAATTATGGCCTGCCCTCTAAATGTTCTTTGTGACAGTAGTGTTACGTTGTGATTCTAGAAAATGCTGTGCATGGACATTATCATATGGCTGCCATAAAATACTCTCATATGCTCTGTTGTTGTTTTTGCTTTTTTTGTATCAGTTCCATCAACATCCACCTCCAGCAGTACATCAGCTCCCCAACCTCCTGCCTTTCCAGTGCAGGAAGATGCAACAGAGATGGACGATGAAGGGTGAATTTCAATTACTGATACTGATAACTGTGAGTTCAATCATTTTTAATTTGGTAATAAATGTAACTGTGGCAATAGTTACTGTATTTACCTCATGTTAGTCAAATGTTTATAACAAATATGCCTTTTCTTTTTTTGATTAGTTCTATTAAGACCTGAAGGTGAAAAGGAAGATGTGTCACGCCCAAAGGATGTGATCTCAGAAGACCCTGCTCAATGGCCAAGCATCCTAAGCCATACCGAACTGTGCCAAATGGTAACAAGGGGACCCATACAGGTAAAAGATATAATTTTCCCCCAGAATACAGACAAAAACCCATGTAGATTAAAGAAGGAATATTACAATATGACCATGAAAAGTGGAGACAAAACACCACGAAGATGGCTTCTGTACTCAGTCTTCTGTTTTGCATGCAAGCTTTTTGGAAAACAGGACAATTAACTTACCAAAGGGGGCTTTAGAACCTGGAAAAACATAGCAAAACATTTTTTTCAGTATACATCTTAAATGCTCTAGAAGTTGTGCATTTATTTCTCCCAAAAACTTTTTTTTTTTTTTTTTGCGTGCAAAGGTGGGGTGGAGGCCCCAGAAATGTCTTGCTTGGAGCCCCATAAGACCCTAGACCCTATATTTCTCTCAAGGATGGAGTCACAGCCAAACAGGAACATTTTCCTTAACAAAATGGGCCAAGAGTTTTTTTTATATTTTTTTTTTTATTTTGCTGCTAACAAAGAAAGTTACTCTGTAACTTTTACTAAAAGTTACATTTTACTTTGAGCATTTTTACTTTTATTTGAGTAGCATTTTGCATGGGTAACTTTACTTGTATCTGGTGGAAAAAATAAAAAAATAATCTTAATTACTGTACTTTTACTTGAGTCAATCAATTATTCATTTAATTTAAATGTATTTATTTATTTATTTTTTCACTGTTTTCGCCTCTGCACAGCACCAATTACTCCATAGTAGTCAACTGTTGCAGTGACATAAAGTACCAATCATCTGGGGGGGCAATCAGATTTCAGGGGTCTGGTGGTGCCCATGCTCCCACTCTTGCTCCACACTACAGCCACACTGTAGCCGTTGTGAACCCGGCATTATGTGTCTTCTCGCTGACACACTGCTGACTTCTATGAAGTAATCATTAACAGTTTTCTGCAGCACAAGATGGCTGCTGAGGAAGACATGCAATCATTTTAGGAGAAAGAGGCAAAGAGGTCCCTGAGGACTTGGATTGATCATCACTGTTCTATTTGCTATACAAGACGTATAGACGTATGTTTAATACAATTCTGGGAACAAAATCCTTCTCAGACGTTGAAATTTTACCTCCCCAGTTCTACCTATTTGAATCCTTCCAGAATTAGCTGTTTTAGGGCTCTGCCACTTTTATACATCTGATAAAACTCACTTTATGTGTTTAACCAGAGAGTGGTTTGTTATCAAGTCTGAAGGGGAAATAAAGAAAGACTGTATGTGTGGACTGCCTCCCCCATGATATATGTGTCAGCTGAAAAAAAATAAAAAAAAAAAATTTCACCTTGGTTTATTTTTACTCAACAAGGTAAATGTTGTTTATTTAAGACATTGTAAGAGTTATCATAAATGACTTTTCTTGCTTGCTTGCTACACATTATTTTTTATACTATCATCTCAATAATCTCACTCACTGTGAAAATAATCATCTCATTGAGCTTTCTGACAGGTTATTTCCAGATACGTAAGGTGACACCAAACAAACTTGGCTGACTTTGCATATTGCTGAGCTCCTTGCCCCTTTAATCAGAGGCAGGATACATGGCTGTTAATGTGTTCCATCCACTGACATTTTGCCGACAGAGAAGCAGCTCTTGCTGTTTAGCCGTTCCGCCTCCTGCGAGTAGGAGCAAGCTGCCTACATGATGGGCTTTTTAATTGACTTACAAGTTATCAGCACCCTGCAAAAAAATATGCTGTTTGTTATGGCATTACAGCAGCATGTGTAAAAGCATTTAATGATCCTGGGTTCAAGCCAGCGCAGCTGGCTAATTTTCGAATGTAAATTCATGACAAATTCAGGTTCCAGTTTGACAGTAGTAATTATAAAGTCTGAAATGCAATGACATACTCTTTACATTTTGAAGAAAGGTTGACCTAAACGTTAATCTGATTCATCTGCAAGAAAATTGTAACCACTATAACAGTTGCAACAAGTTCAGGGAATCTGCAATATTAAATTTAACTACTCTGCAATATTTTTTTCTTTATAACCAAGTTTTTGTCAAAGTCAAAGATTATTTTTTAATCATGGTTTACTGACAGTTACCAGTTAGAAATAATGTTTTTCATCATCCTGGATAGAGTAAAGCATTGAGTCAATCTTGCTTCATTAATAATACAAGCTAAGAACACATTTTGTAAATAGGAAATAAAAATCTTGAAATTAAACTCCTGAAATTATATTTTCATCTTCTGAATTTACTTTTTTTTTTAAACAAATTTTATATTTGTATTTTTGTTTTTCAGATGGAGTTTTACAGATTTTTTTTTATTTATTTAATTTTTTTTATTGTGTTTTACCAATCACATTCCCTCCCTATCGTGGGGGTGGGGTTTTCTTCTGCAAAGACAAGTGGAGATGCATTTCTGTTTGTGGGCATGGATATTAGCAACATTTGCATTGGGCTTGAAAAGGGTTCTAGCATATTTCTGAAACATTTTTTTATTTATCTTTTTGTTTGTATTACCATTTTCAAAATGTCATCTCTACTTGCAATAATAATGGAACAAAATTCACTTCATATAGAGTATTCAGCCCTGTTTCAAAAAGTGCAATAAGAGAGAACTGTCATGATCTTGGGACTGATGACTGGATTATTAGTTTATTCCTTCCAACTGTCTAGCTCTGCCTATTTTTCATCTGGCTTCATCTTATCCACCTGTTCCAGCTCATATTTATCTTGCTTGTTTCCAGCCATTTGTGTCAGATTAATCGAGCTAAGTGTGAGAGTTCTCTGCGACTCTGTAGTGTGTCACCTAATCCTGACCTGTTTCTGTCTATGGACTCCTGAGTTTGGTTTGCCCGTGTTCCGGTCTGTTTCTGCTTGTTCTTGTTTTCGGACTGCTGTTTGAATTCTGTCTGTAAGCCACCTTGGATCTTTGAACGATTTCCCTCCATTGCCTCTTTGTCTCTCTGATCTACTCGCATGGACTTCTGCTTCTGGTTCGTCGCCTGCTCTGGATTCTCCCTTGGGATTTATCTGCTCTTCCGCCTCTGCTTGCTTCTGCTCCTGGAACTCTCTCTGGGACTCCCGCCGCATGCTTTGGAGAAATCATCTGACTGGTTTCCAGTCCTTCCTCTGTGCACAGACAGAACTTAAGAACCAGACAGAACTTAAGAACCAATTGCCAAGCAGCTTGGTGACTGCAAGATCTTACCTTGTAGGGTCTAAAAAAATATCCTAAGAAAGGTGAGAAATCAGTCAAGAACTACTTATGCAGGTGGCAGTAATATAAATGTAAGCTGCCTGCTGTGATGCTGAATTTAATATGAATTAAATTTCAATTATTCGAACACGAAACGCTAATATTTTCCAGAACGTTTGTCGTAAAGACGGAGATGTAAAATAAATGTGAGCGTCCACACGAATGCATGAAAACGCTGCAAAATGTATGCCAGGCCTGTAAGTGGCGCTGTGGTGCCAAAGCAAAAATAGGCGACGAAATGTTGGGCATGCGCACTAATATTTATTCATGGTTGCTCTGCGGGTCCATTTTCGTGGTTCTGTCAAATTCAGGTGCTGAACTATGTGGTCGATATTGCTCTGTTCTTCCTGGAGATATTCCAGAAGAAGAAGATTCTGTTGTAAGCCCGACAGCAGGGTGAGTAGCATGAGCAGCAACCATTCAACACAGTACGGCGCCATTGTTGTTGTGATACTGGTCGCGCATGCGTGTTTAGAGGCGACGCTATGACGCATGCGTGTAAAAAAAAAAAATGCGGTTAGAGCTTAAAGATGGAAACGCGAAAACGGCGTTTCAAAATCTTCCCACTCTGAAGGCTTAATAAAAAAAGATCGTTTACAGACCCCCGATACGCCGGCTTCGTATGGATGAGAGGCTGGTTTGGTGAAAAATTTGTGCGTTTAGGCCAGGGTTTGACTTCGTGTGGAAGGGGCCTAAAACTTTCCCTTTTAATTATGCCTCATGATGATAATGACTTGTAGTTAGAGTAGCTCTTGCTCTCCTGAGCTATTTGTATGGTTATGCTGCATTAGGCTTACTATGCTGGAAGACATTGAGACGTTTCTGACTCATTCTTTCTCTGTTCTTCAATTCTACAGTATTTCTTAATTAACCCAATAGAATTGACAAAGACTCCTTGATAGGTGTTGAAACATTTTCGGAAAAGAACTTAGCAAAAGTCCCAGGTCCTTCCAATTTTAGACCTATTTTGTGGTAATTATCAGATTTAAACTAATCACTTTTATTCTCTTTAATTGTTTGTGTTGCCTTCATGCCACAGCAATGTTGTCTTTCTTGGGGATGGTGGCCAGTGTATGGAGAGGTTTTTGTCAGATTGAGGTTTTGGATGAGTTTGTAGGAGGCGTATAAACTGCTACAAGTGCATCAAAATGTATCCAGATATCAGGATCACAGCCTCGGTAGCTGATCTAATTACTCACTTCATTCACCCGCCGTACTCTCCCTTTGATTATAATTGATCTTATCCACCTGCTCCGGCTGCTTTATATATGGCTCATCCCATCTATCAGGGCCAGATCAATATGTATTTGTGTTAGTTATTCATTTTTGTTTGTTTTTTTTTGTTTTTTTAGTTACATTTTTGGTTCATGTCATTGCTCCCGGGGGCCAGTGTTTTACGCTTTTACAGTTATTTAAAGAAACACCTTGATGATCAGCAAGACTGTTGAGGAAAATTTCTGTAAATTGGCATGACAAAAGCAGCTTTACAGAAAGATCTCTGTTGGCTGAGTTAGGAAAGTAATTATTAATTAGCATATTTCTAATGATTTGGATCAAAGTGAAGAAGGTGAAGGTTTTAAGATGACATAAAGCAAGAAAATAATACAAAACCACTTTGAAAGATATAACCAGTATCATTAGACTAACAGCTTCTGTTTGAACTCCGTCACAGAGAAAATAAGTGATTGATATTCATACTCCTATTTATCTTTGTTTTTCACATTGCAATATACTTGCTGGCTCTGTTTCCAAAGTCTGAAGATATTTCTATTGAGTAGGTGGATATACTGGTAGTGAAAATATTCTGTATAAGACAAAAAACACGTGTCTTCTGGACAATCGCTGCTGAATACATATGAATAACTAATAAGTTACACAGAAATGGTGACACAGTATAAAAGAAATATAATGAAAACATAAAATAAAC